AGAGAGAATTTTAACTACAAATTTTGTTCTTTAGAAAGACTAGGGGCGCCTGGGTGGCTCAGTGGGTTAAAGCCTCTGGCTTCGGCTTGCCTTCAGCTCAGGTAGTGGTCCCAGGGTCCTGGAATCGAGCCCCGCATCGGGCTCTCTGCTCAGCGGGGGAGCATGCTTCCCTTCCTCTCTCTCTGCCTTGCCTCTCTGCCTACTTGTGATCTGTCAAATAAATTTAAAAAAAAAATTTTTTTTTAAAGATTTAAAGATTTTATTTATTTATTTGACAGACAGAGATCACAAGTAGGCAGAGAGGCAGGCAGAGAGAGAGGGGGAAGCAGGCTCCCTGCAGAGCAGAGAGTCTGATGTGGGGCTCGATCCCAGGACCCTGGGACCATGACCAGAGCTGAAAGCAGAGGCTTTAACCCACTGAGCCACCCAGGCGCCCCTTAAAAATTTTTTTAAAAAGACAAATTTACAGCAAGATTTTATTTTTTAAGTGAAGGAAGAGGAAATAATAGAGGTGCAGTAGAGAATAAAGAGATAACAGATGATCCTGAATAATTTATGACAAAGTATTTGAAAACTTAGGAGAAATGGGTAATTTTTAGAAAAACAAATTACTAAAATTGAATCTAGAAAACAATCTAATAGTAGGATGCAAGTGAATGGCATCCCTAATGTCTAAAAGCATAAAGAAATTTGATCAGTAATTTAAAATCTTCCCACTGAGAAAATACTCAGCCGAGATGATTTTACAAATGAGACCTACCAAACATTTAAGAAAATTGATTCCAACCTTCCACAAAATTTTGTAGGTAACTGGAAAACTAGGAATACTTCATTTTTCTGAGAACAGTGTAATCTGGATATCCATACTAGAATAATATAATAGATATAATAATAATATAATAGATATAATAATATAATAGAATAATATAAAAAAATTACGAATCAGTCTTTCCTTATATAGGTGCAGAAATTCTAAACAAAATATTCGCAAACCAAATCCAGCAGTGAATTTAAGTAAACAGTAAATCAAATGGATTGAACATTAGAAAATCAACTAATGTAATTCACCAATGAGCACAGTAAAGAAGGAAATAGCCTAGATATCCAAATATATTAGTAACTCTATTAAATATAAATGTTTCATTTAAAGGACAGGTGTATCAGACTGGAAAAAGAATAAAATCCAACTAAATGGAAAGAGGAATATCTAAAATGTAAGGATATAGTAAGCCTGAAAGTAAAAGCGTAGAAAAAGATATACGATGGTAAAACAAAAGAAAGCTGATATAGGTGTATTAATATTTGTACTTTAAGGCATAAGATCTTGTTAGAAATGGAGGTCACTTCACAATGGTTAACAGTTCAGCTCACCTGGAAGATACAAGCCTTAAACTTGTGTGTTGCCTAGTAAGCCTAATAATAATAACAGAGCTTCAGCATGTACATGAAGCCAAATTGATCAAACTAAAGGGAGAAATGGGAAAATCCAGAATCATAATGGGAAATTTTAGCACACTTCGTTCAGTAATTGCTGACATCAGAAAACTAAATATTATAAAGGATGTCCATTCTCTCCAAACTGATAAAAATTCAGTGCACTGCCAAGCAAATGACAGTTCTTTTATGTAATTTGATGAAATTGTTCATGAATATATGAAAGAAATATGGCCCAAGAACTCAAAGCCGAAACATTCCTCATGAAAAACAAGAACTAAGTGCTTTCTTTATAAAGATTATAAGGCTACAGTAATTATTGACAGTGTTCTATTCGCATAGACACAGACTAGTGGAATGGAATATAGAGACTACTATTCCTTGCACAATCATATAAGTAGCTTGATGCACTACAGATTTAAATATGAAAAATAGATTTAAAGCAATAATGATTATGATGGCTAACACTTGCTGAATGCTTACTATTTACCAGGCAATGTACTGATCCCTTTATAGGTAATGATGCAGTTACCATCACACAATGCTGTGAGGTAGGTACTGTTCTTTACAGAAGAACATTGAGTCACAGAGTGGTAATTGCCCAAGGTCATACCACAAGTGAGTTCCTGGTCTGGCTTTAGAGTCCTACAGTTCAATCCATATGCTGTTAAGACCTCTGAAAATAGGGGCACCTGGGTGGCTCAGTGGTTAAATCCTCTGCCTTCGGCTCGGGTCATGATCTCAGGGTCCTGGGATCGGGTCATGATCTCAGGGTCCTGGGATCGAGTCCTGCATCGGGCTCTCTGCTCGGCAGGGAGCCTGCCTCCTCCTCCCCTCTCTCTCTGCCTGCCTCTCTGCCTACTTGTGATCTGTCTGTCAAAAAAAAAAAAAAGACCTCTGAAGATAAAGGAGTGTGCCTTCATGATATGACAGACGAAGGCCTTCTCAAAACAAACAAAAAACCATTAAGGAAAAGCTTGACATTAAAATTAAGAATTCAAAGAAATCATGAAGAGCTGAAACACAAACTGAGAGGACATTGCCACACATGTGATTAAAAAAGGTTTGTATCCTCCATGTACAAGAATGCCTATAAATGGGGCGCCTGGGTGGCTCAGTAGGTTAAAGGCTGTTCCTTCGGCTCAGGTCATGATCTGAGGGTCCTGGGATAGAGCCCCGCATCAGACTCTCTGCTCAGCGGGGAGGCCTGCTTCCCCCTCTCTCTCTGCCTGCCTCTCTGCCTACTTGTGATCTCTGTCTGTCAAATAAATAAATAAAATCTTTTTAAAAATGCCTATAAATTAAAAATAAGACAGATAACTAAACAATCATCAAAATGTTGAACAGAAGAAATACAAATAGCCCATAAATATATGAAAAGATATTTAACTCATTTAATCAGGGAAAACCACAGTGAGGTTAATACTGGAAACTTGTGGCTAAAAATTAAAAGGTCTGAGAATACCAGTATTGAAATGTGGGTAATAGAAACTCTTACTCAGTGCTGACAGTGACAGAAATCTATCTACTCTCAAGAACAATCTGGCAACATTCTGGGAAAGTTGAGAATGTAGTAAGCATACACATACTCCCAGTTACATACTCCTGATACCCAAACTGGAAGAAATTCTTGCTCATGCCACTAAGATGTATTTCCCAGAATTTCTATAGTAGTACTTGCTTATATGATTTAAAAAAAAAATGGAATCAACCTATAAATCTGTCCCTAGTAGAACAGATAAGGAATTTCCTAGTTCTAAAATGGCAATGAAAATTAAACTACACATAGCAACTTGGCTGAATCTCTCAAACGTAAGGTTTCTCAAAGGAATCAAGTTAGATGATACATATACTATTAGAGCATTTATTTACTATATCATAAGCTATGTTGCTTAGAGAACTATTCATATGTAATGAAAATTTAAAAATTACCAGGAGGAGGCAAGTTATAGGAAGAGTCACATAGATGAGGAATTAATGTATTGATAATGGTTTATTTCTTAAGCTGGGTGTTAGGTATCATATATTCTTTATATTATGTCTTTAAAATATTGCTTAATCATTAAAAGATTGAATGGATATGAAAATTCTATTTTAATGATTATTAAAAAGAAATTTGAGAAAGTTTTAATTTAACATTTAATGTGATCTTAAAATGGAAATGAGTGACTTAGGAAAGAGTTACAACAGGGACACCTAGCTGGCTCGGTCAATAGAACATGCTACTTTTTTTTTTTTTTTTTTAGATTTTATTTATTTGACAGAGATCACAAGTAGGCAGAGAGGCGGGCCAGGGAGGGGGGGTGGCGCAGGGGGAGGGGGGAAGCAGGCTCCCTGCTGAGCAGAGAGCCCAATGCAGGGCTCAATCCCAGGACCCTGAGATCATGACCTGAGCCAAAGGCAGAGGCTTTAACCCACTGAGCCACCCAGGCACCCCAGAACATGCCACTCAATCTCGGGATCATGAGTTCAAGTTCTACATTGGGCATGGAGCCTACTTAAAAAAAAAAGTAACAAGATATAGTACTAAGGATGTTATTTTGATTCTTAGCTCAAAACTGAAGGCCTAAAGCCTTTTTTAAAAAATATTTATTTATGCATAAGAAACAGAGAGAGGCAGAGGCAGAGGGAGAAGCACGCTCCCTGCTGAGCAGGGAGCCCGATGTGAGACTTTATCCCAGGACACAGGGATCATGACCCAAGCCAAAGGTAGACGCTTAACTATCTGAGCCACCCATGCACCCTCTAAAGCCTTTTCTTTAGGTTTTTACTTACTTAAACTGCCGTACAGCTTTTTTTTCTCCTTTAATTTGAAATTTTTTTCAGTTTTATTGAAAAACGATATACATGACTAATTTTAAGGTGTACAAGCAAGATGGCTTGATTTTCTTATGTAGTGAAATGATCACCACAGTAGGTTCAGCTAACATCCATCCTCTTGTACAAATAGAAAAGAAAAAAGGTAAAAAATTTTCTTCTTGTGAGGAACACTCTTACGATAAACCCTCTTAGCAACTTCCCTAAGTATCATAGAGCAATGTTGACTATAGTCATCATGTTGTGTATTATATTCTCTAGTACTTATTTACTTTATAACCGAAGTTTATACCTTTTGACCACGTTCCCCTCCCCTAATGCCCTCTGCTTCTGATAAGCAGATCTCTTTTTCCTAGTTCGGGTTTTTTTTTTGTTGTTGTTGTTTTTTAAGATTCCATTATAAGTGAGATCATACAGGATTTGTCCTTCTCATTTTTTCTTTAAGAGTCTGTGGATATTATATAACCAGTTATTATAAAATGCCTTTTCTAAATTAATGGGTAATGTTAGTAACCAAAGTTAGTTTCCAACCAAAATGTAGCTTCCGTACATCAAAGCATTTTAGAGGGAGTGGATATTCTATTTTTATGTATTTGGTATGGAAAATTATTATTCTTAAAAGAATACATGTTTGTACATGTTTCCTCCTTCCATATGGGCTTGTGTAACAGACTTTAAAATTGAATAACCTAGTGATGCTCTACTCTTAAGGGCTCCCAGGTTTATTTGAATTAATCTTTTTTTCAAAGGTGCACACCCCAAGTTTGGACGCCGACACAGTATGGAAAACATGGAACTTATGAAGTTAACACCAGAAAAGGTTGGCAGCTTTTATGTTTTAAATTTCTTGAACTGTTAAAATCAAATATTTAAATAACTTTTAACTTAAATGAATAGTTTAAATAAACCTTGTCTTGTATAGGTATCACTTTAAAATTTTCCTTTAAAAAGAATGAGGAGGGTGCCTGGGTGGCTCAGTGGTTTAAGCCGCTGCGTTCGGCTCGGGTCATGATCTCAGGGTCCTGGGATCGAGTCCCACATCGGGCTCTCTGCTCAGCAGGGAGCCTGCTTCTCTCCCTCTCTCTGCCTGCCTCTCTGTCTACTTGTGATCTCTCTCTGTCAAATAAATAAATAAAATCTTTAAAAAAAAAAAAGAATGAGGAAAAAAGTACAAGTCCAAAAAGAATGTGTGTAGTATGATGCCACCTGTTCAAGAAGAGCATTATGCATAGATATCCTTTGTAGATGCATAAAACCTTTCCAGAAGCATATTAAGAAAATTGCTAAGAATAGTTGCTTCTGGGGCGCCTGGGTGGCTCAGTGGGTTAAGGCCTCTGCCTTCGGCTCGGGTCATGATCTCGGGGTCCTGGGATCGAGCCCCGCATCGGGCTCTCTGCTCCGCGGGGAGCCTGCTTCCTCCTCTCTCTCTGCCTGCCTCTCTGCCTACTTGTGATTTCTCTCTGTCAAATAAATAAAATCTTTAAAAAAAAAAAAAAAAAGAATAGTTGCTTCTGGGAAAAACACTGGGTGTCTGAGTTAGGAGAGATATTTACTTTATATATAGTTTGAACTGTTTGAATACTTTAACATGTACATGTATATTTTAATTAGAAGAAAATCAGAAAAAAAATTTTAAAAAGGGTTAGGAAGCTTTTTTTTTTTTTCCAGCTAAGTAATGGCAAAATTATTGGCAAGGTTAATATTCATGATCAATCTAGTTTTTCTGGCTGCATTTCTTAAAAGCATTTTCTTAACTGACAGATAACTTTTTATTCAAGATCTTGTCTAGGCTTTTTTTTTTTTTTTTTTTTTTTGTAAGAGAGAAGGGACTTTATAATTAGAGCTTATTTTTGTCTTTATTCTTTTTTATTAAGTTTTTTGTTTTAATTCCAGTATAGTTAACATAGTGTTATGAGTTTTAGGTGTATAATATAGTGATTCAGTACTTATATATACATTACTGAATGCTCATCACTCTAAGTGTACTTTTTTTTTTTTTAAGATTTTATTTATTTATTTGACAGACAGAGATCACAAGTAGGCAGAAAGGCAGGCAGAGAGAGGAGGAGGGGGAAACAGGCCCCCCGCTGCGCGGAGAGCCAGATGGGAGGCTCCATCCCAGGACTCTGGGATCATGACCGGAGCCGAAGGCAGAGGCTTTAACCCGCTGAGCCACCCAGGTGCCCCTTTAAGTGTACTCTTTAATCCCCATCACCTATATCATCCATCCCCCCACCCTGGGAAAAGGTTTTTGAAAAAAAAAAAATCTAGACTACTTTCTTACACCTTCATTTAACTTAATTTTACATTGTTAAAGTAGGTTGTTGTTCTTTTATGGTATATGATATAAAATGCTTCTTATAAAATAAGTTCATTATAATAACTTTAGAATATTTCAACAAGGAAATTAAAATTATCAGTAATCCCACCTCCCAGTTATTGTTATTTTGGTATTTATTCATCTTGCGTTTTCATATGAATACTGTCATATTTAAAGATATTTTATAATGCATATTTATCATTTCCATGTTAAACATTTTTCTGCCCTATTATAACAAGCATGTGGGTTTTTAATATTGACATTTTTGTGAGAATAGTTTTCAAAAGACTAACATCTAATTGACTTGATCTTATATCCATTATCTTTTTTATTCCAGTCAGAGTTGTTCAAAAACTGAAGGATGTCATGATTTCCCCCAAATATCTACCTCTTACCTTGTCAGTTCTCAAAGCTGTCCAATCTGCAAATTATTAAAAAAAAAAAACAAAAAAAAACCCACCTTTAAGTCAATTTAAGCCTCTTTTTCTTATTCTTGAGGAACATACTAATAAGTAACAAAATTAATTTGCTACCTTGTGCCTAGCTCTGTACTAACCATAGATTCCTTTAAGAAGCTAACCAGATTCATTTTTTTGGGTGTTGAGTTTGAGAAGTTCTTTATAGATCATGCATACATGCCCTTTATCTGTAGTGTCATTTGTGAATATTTTCTCCCATTCCATGGGTTGCCTCTTTGTTTTGCTGTTTCCTTTACTATGCAGAAGTTTTTATCTTTATTTTTTAAAAGATTTTATTTATTTATTTGACAGAGAGAGAGATCACAAGTAGGCAGACAGGCAGGCAGAGAGAGAGGAGGAAGCAGGCTCCCTGCTGAGCAGAAAGCCCGATGTGGGACTCGATCCCAGGACCCTGAGATCATGACCTGAGCCAAAGGCAGTGGCTTAACCCACTGAGCCACCCAGGCGTCCAGAAGTTTTTATCTTGATGAAGTCCCAAAAGTTCATTTTTGCTTTTGTTTTCCTTGACTTTGGAGACATGGTTTGAAAGAAGTTGTTGAAAAGTTACTGCCTATGTTCTCCTTTAGGATTTTGATGGACTCCTATCTCACATTGAGGTCTTTCATCCATTTAGAGTTTATCTTTATGTATGGTGTAAGAGAATGGTCGAGTTTCATTCTTCTGTATAGAGCTGTCCAATTTTCCCAGCACCATTTATTGAAGAGACTGTCTTTTTTCCATTGGATATTTTTTCCTGCTTTGTCAAAGATTAGTTGACCACAGAGTTGAGGGTCCATTTCTGGGATTCTGGGTTCTCTGTTCTGTCCCATTGACCTATGTGTCTGTTTTTGTGCCAGTACCATGCTGTCTTAGAGATCATGGCTTTGCAGTATAGCTTGAAATAAGGCAATGTGATACCCCCAGCTTTTTCTTTTTTAACATTTCCTTGACGATTCGGGGTCTTTTCTGGTTCCATACAAATTTCAGGATTGTTTGTTCCAGTACTTTGAAAAAGGCCATTGGTATTTTTATCAGGATGACGTTGAAAGTATAGATCGCTCTGGGCAGCATAGACATTTTAACAATGTTTATTCTTCCAATCCATGAGCATGGAATGTTTTTACCATCTTTCCATGTCTTCTTCAATTTCCTTCGTAAGTGTTCTATAGTATGGATCCTTTCCCTCTTTGGTTAGGTTTGCTCCAAGGTATCTTAAGGTTTTTGGTGCTATTGTAAATGGAATCAACTCCCTAATTTCTCTTTCTACTGTTACATTGTTAGTGTATAGGAAACCAACTGATTTCTATGCATTGATTTTGTAACCTGCCAGGTTACTGAATTGCTGTATGAGTTGTAGTAATTTGGGAGTAGTCTTTTGGGTTTCCACATAAAGTATCATGTCACCTGCAAAGAGAGGGAGTTTGACTTCTTCTTTGCCAATCTGAATATCTTTTCCTTTTGTCTGATTGGTGTTGCTGGACTTCTAGTACTTCTAGTACTATGTTGAACAATAGTGGCGAGAGTGGGCATCCTTGTCATGTTCCTGATATTAAGGGAAAGGCTCTCAGCTTTTCCCCATTGAGAATGATATTTGCTGTGGGCTTTTCATAGATGGTTTTTATGAAATTGAGCAATGTTCCCCCATCCCTACACTCTGAAGAGTTTTAATAAGGAAAGGATGCTGTATTTTGTCAAATGCTTTTCCTGCATCAATTGAGAGGACCGTGTGGTTCTTGTCTCTTATTTGTTTTATCATATCGATTGATTTGCGAATATTCAACCACCCTTGCATCCCAGGGATAAATCCCATCTGATTGTGATGGATAATCCTTTTAATGTACTTTTGGATCCTATTAGCTAGGATCTTGTTGAGAATTTTGGCATCCATATTCATCAGAGATACTGGTCTGTAATTCTCCTTTTTGATGAGGTCTTTACCTGGTTTTGGGATCAAGGTAATGCTAGCCTCATAGAATGAGTTTGGAAATTTTCCTTCTGTTTCTATTTTTTGAAACAGCTTCAGGAGAATAGGTATTATTTCTTCTTTCAATGTTTGGTAGAATTCCCCCAGGGAACCCATCAGGCCCTGGACTCTTGTTTTTTTGCAAAATTTTTGTTCACTGCTCAGTCTCATTACTGGTTATCTAGGAAACAAGTAAGTCAAAAAATGGGCAGAAGACATGAACAGACACTTCTCCAAAGAATATATACAAATAGATAACAGGCACATGAAAAAATATTCAACATCATTAGCCATTAGGGAAATTCAAATCAAAACCACACTGAGATACCACCTTACACCAGTTAGAATGGCAAAAACTGACAAGACAAGAAACAACAAATGTTGGAGAGGTTGTGGAGAAAGGGAACCCTCTTACACTGTTGGTGGGAACATAAGTTGGTGCATCCACTTTGGAAAACAGTGTGGAGGTTCCTCAAAAAGTTAAAAATAGAGCTACCCTATGACCCAGCAATTGCACTACTATTTACCCCCAAAATACAGATGTAGTGAAAAGAAGGGCCACATGCACCCCAGTGTTCATAGCAGCAATGTCCACAATAGCCAAACTGTGGCAGGAGCCAAGATGCCCTTCAACAGATGAATGGATAAAAGAGCTGTAGTCCGTATATACAATGGACTATTACTCAGCCATCAGAAAGGGTGAATACCCAACATTTAAATCAACATGGATGGAACTGGAGGATATTATGCTGAGTGAAGTAAGTTAAACAGAGAAAGACAATTATCAAATGATTTCACTTATTTGTGGAACATAGGGAATAGCATGGAAGACATTAGAAGGAAGGGAAAAATGAAGAGGGGGTAGTCAGAGGGGGAGACGAACCATGAGAGACTATGGACTCCAGGAATCAAACTGAGGGTTTAAGAGGGGAGGGGGTGAGGGGATGGGTGAGCCTGGTGATGGGTATTAAGGAGGGCACATATTTCATGAAGCACTGGGTATTATGCACAATGAATCATGGAACATTGCATCAAAAACTAATGATGTACTGTATGATGGCTAACATAATAAAAAAATTATATTAAAAAAAAAAAAAACGGGCGCCTGGGTGGCTCAGTGGGTTGGGCCGCTGCCTTCGGCTCGGGTCATGATCCCAGGTCCTGGGTTCGAGCCCCACGTCGGGCTTTCTGCTCGGCGGGGAGCCTGCTTCCTCCTCTCTCTCTGCCTGCCTCTCTGCCTACTTGTGATTTCTCTCTGTCAAATAAATAAATAAAATCTTTAAAAAAATAAATAAATAAAAAATAAATAAATAAATAAAAACAGCTAACCAGATTCAACCCTGTAATTTTCTAAGAGCCAAATAATGACAAGTTTTATCTTTAAAATATGTTTGGAATTAGTTCTGTTTTCTTTTCCTCATCATAAGGTTGCACTGAGTTATTTCATTAGTCTCAACAAAGTAAAGAAACATATATAAAGAAAAAAGATGTCTGTCTTAGAGATGCTTCTTGGGAAAGAGTGTAACTGAAGGGAGGTCTTGAGACCCTGGATGTCAGAAAACGCCTTTTTGCTACTCTCACATTTGATTGGTAGTTCCACTTACATTGGAATTATTGGCTGGAAATAATTTTCCTTCGTAATTTTAAGGACATCGTTCCAGTCTGTGTTCTTCAGTGTTTTTGTTGAAAGGTCCAAGTAAGTATATAGGAAACATTTAAAATTTTTCACAAACAGTTGGGATATAGGTGGGTTTTATGTTCTAACATCTGGAGCCATTTAGTTTTTCTTGAATCAGTAGACCCTGAAGTCCACTCTAGCAATAGTTTCCCCTTATCACCTGTATGAGAAAAGGAATGGGAGCCTGTGGGAGGGGTGCGGTGGTTCAGGGTATGGGGAGGCTTCATTTGATGCAGATAGCTGGCTTAGTCGCTCACTAGCTGCCTGTCTCAGGTATGGTAGCCTCAGGAATAGGACTTACTCTAATTTGTGCCTCATGATGTAACCATGAAAAAAATGTGTTTTATCAAATTATTAGTTATTACATAACAGACTTTTGGACTTATTTGCAAACACTTAAGACTGAAATGTTAAAGCCGCAAATGTCACATAGCTACTGTACATACTGTAGGTTTCCCTTTCCACAGAGTAAATATTTGTTATATTGAGTTTGCTATTTAGAGGTTAAGTATATTTAAACTAGGTCTAGGCCTATATAAATTGCTCATTAGATGTTTTACCTATTGAGAATTAGTAGCTGGTGAAAACAAAAAGTATCACCAAAAATTACTACTGCTTATATAAATTTTAATAATTTTAAATTTTAAATTTATATATAAATTAATGTTAATTTCTACAGTTAAAAATTCTATGTGCATCCAAAATTTCCAGTTGTAACAGATTAACTAACTCACGTTCAGAATAAAACTTGCTCTTTCCCTGACCATTCAAATTTTATTTTTATGGTATTTTGAAAAACTATTTTCTTAAGTTCTTAAAAGCCACCATTTTATGTTTTGGTAGTGAGAAATCCACAGTATACATTTGGTACGAGCTGTTGAAAATAGTGAGACACACTGGCAAAAAGGAATTTATTAAGAGACCTAGCTGCCCCTCCACACAAAATGAGTGGTGACAGCAGGTTACTATTAGAGAAAACCAGAGATAGCTTTGTTTTTTTCATGTCCTGCTTTCCATTTTTTATATTTATAATTTTGTAGGTACAGAACTGGAACAGTGAAATTCTTGCTAAACAAAAGCCTCTTATTGCCAAACCTTCTGCGAAGCTGCTCTTTGTCAACAGATTGAAGGGGAAAAAATACAAAACTAATTCCTCCACTAAAGTTCTCCAGGATGCCAGTAATTCCATTGATCACCGAATTCCAAATTCTCAGAGAGTATGTATAAAATAAAATTTTGAGTATCTACATTTTAGTATTCTTATACTGAAACTGAATATTTGGAAATTTATATTGGACATTTAATATAAAATGCCATTTTTATTCAAAGAAGTCTTCCATATTTCCCTCTTTCTGTTGTCTTCAAAGCTAGAAACTATAATTTCTCCATTCATGTTGTTTCACTACTTTGGACAGTAATTGTCCCTATTTGCAAAAATACTACCTTTTATTTACTGCAGTGTCTCCCAGTAAAACTGTCCTTCTTTCAGCTTAGAAGTTAAACAAATGAAATTTAGATGATCAAGGATTTTAAAATACTAATTTAAAACAGTATCTGCTAGCATCAACTTCTGTTTATTTATACTGAAATTATAACAGTTAAAAACTATTTTGATGAAACAAGAAACAAGTTATTAAATATAACTTAAAATATTAAGAAATAAAATATCTGGAGTATCTCTAATCTAGCTAAGTTATACTCTGATAAAAGAATCAAAATAAATTACAAAGATTCTTCAAATTATCAAGTCCATTTTTCAATGAGAGCTTTTGGGAAAATTATGTTAGTCTTTATTTATTTATTTTGAAAGACTTCTCTTGTCCCTTAAGAATTAGTTCTGCCCTTCTCCTAAGGCCTATAACACTTGATATAAATGTACCTCTACTATAATATTTACATCATTATGAAAAAATACTTTTTATTAAACACTGCAACTGTCATTTTAAGCTTTCCAACTAAAGTATGACTGGTTTCCCTCTGCCCCAAATATTCATTTATTTGAAGTTTTATATTTTTTCAAGACCACATCTTTAATAAAGGACTTGGAAATCACAGTTCTTAGTTTTCAATTGGAAATCACTGGAAATTGGAAATCACTATTCTTAGTTTTCAGTTCTTAAATTAGTTTACTTTCAAATTCTGTTGTAGAATCTTAGAACTGAACTTTGAGCCTGTTTAAAAATAAACTGCTTCAGATAATGAATTTATATAATGAATACTGAATGAAATTATATAAATTCATTCAGTATCTGAAGCAGTTCCCCAGAGTATGAGGTACATTTTTTTTTTAAAGGTATTTATTTATTTATTTGAGACAGAGCGTGAGCAGGGGGAGTGGCAGGCAGAGGAAGAAGCAGACTCCTCACTGGGTAGGGAGCCCAGCACAGGACTGGATCCCAGGACCCTGGGATCATGAGCTGAGCTGAAAGCAGGTGCTTAGACTAAGCCACCCAAGGTCCCTGAGGTACATTTCTTTAGCCTTGGAAATATAAGGATTAAAAACTATACATAACTAGGGGCATCTGGTTGGCTCAGTGGGTTAGGCCTCTGCCTTTGGCTCAGGTCATGATCCCAGGGTTCTGGGATCGAGCCCCACATCGGGTTCTCTGCTCGGCGGGGAGACTGCTTCCCCCCACCCCCCTGCCTGCCTCTCTGCCTACTTGTGATCTTTGTCCCTCTGTCAAATAAAATCTTAAAAAAATTATACATAACTAGAAATGCTTTTTATTAGTTGGATTGGAGTAATTCTATTACCAAGGTTGCCATCTTGAATTCTTTATAATGAAAGTGTCAATTTTTATTTTTAATCTTCATTCTTTACCTTTTGCACATGTATCATGATATCATTCCATTCATGATATGGAATGATAATGCTGGAATATTTAGATTTTCTCTCAATATTTCAGAAAGTCAGTACAGATACTATTGGCGATGAAGGATTCTTTGACTTGGTAAGCCGATTTCAGAGCAATCGGATGGATGATCAGAGGTGCTGCTTACAAGAACAGAGCTGTGGGCCTGCTTCAACTGCAGCTTCTTCCACTCCCCCTAGAATGATGCTAAAAAGTGAGTTATCTCTGCTTCTCCCCCAGTTTTAATAGTTCCTTGTGATATTCTTATGATTTCTTTCTGAGAGTTTAGTTCTCATCAGAGCAAGTACAGTAAATGAGCCTGAACCCAGGTGTATTGGAAATGCTGGTATTTCTTCAGTTCAAAACAAAGTTCTGTTTCAGTTCCCCTAGGTTTATATGTATTTTAGTCCACTGCACTTTCTACTAACTATAGCATACTGTCTCCCTAGATTCTTTGGAACTGGGGAAAAAATCTAACTTTAAAAGTAAAAATAGTGAGGGGAAAAAATTTAAGTTATACATATCTTATAATTCTATATAAAACAAAAATGCATCCTATCTGGATTTTAAAAAGCCGAGACAGGGCTGCCTGAGTGGCTCAGTGGGTTAAGCCTCTGCCTTCAGCTCAGGTCATGAGCTCAGGGTCCTGGGACCGAGTCCCACATCGGGCTCTCTGCTAGGCAGAAAGCCTGCTTCCTCCTCCCTCCCTCTCTCTCTCTCTCTCTTGCTTGCCTCTCTGCCTACTTGTGATCTCTCTCTGTCAAATAAATAAAATCTTTAAAAAAAAAAAAAAAGCCGAGACAGAAGAGGAACCTATGACTAAGGCTGAGGCTAAGGTCTGCCTGCACCTTAGAAAGGTCTAAAATGGGTTACTTAAATTTCCTACTTCAGCTACCGAAAGACTTCCTCTGCCACAGACTAGGACTTACTTACCAGTAACACTTAACTCTTCCTATCCAGGGCATAGAATAAAAACAGTCTCATTCATTCTCACGTGAGAAATTATCTAAGAAAGTTTATTACCTTCCAAAATCTAGCTCCAGATCTTATAAAGTATGTTTTGTTTTGTTTTTAAGTAGGCTCCACATCCAGCATGGACCCCAACACAAGGCTCGAACTCATGACCGTGAGATCAAAAGGCAGGCAGTTAACTGAGGCAGCACCCCTTGTAGTTACATTTTAAGTGGACATTAGATAAAAGGAAGTACAGTCAAATCTGAGTAACATCAAACTGGATAATCTGAAGTACTCTGGGCTTCTTTCATCCCTCCCTGCCCATCTAGTCAGGCCCCAGCCTGTCAGTGACTTAGGGGGACAGAGTGGATGTTGGGACTGAACAAGGCGGAAAGGAACTATACGTGTTTAAAAGTGTGCTTAAATGTTTTTGTAATGTTATGGATTTTTTTTGATTCATAGCACCATCTGTTTCCATGGTATCCCCCAACACGGATGAGTTTTTAGATCTTCTTGCCAGCTCACAGAGCCGCCGTCTCGATGACCAAAGGGCCAGTTTCAATAATTTGCCGGGGCTTCGACTGACACAAAACAACAATAAGTCTGTACTTGGCCACCTGATGACTAATGACAACAAAGAGCCTGATGAAGACTTCTTTGACATCCTTGTAAAATGTCAAGTATGTATGCATATTTATGACAATCTGTATGGCTCAGATGCTATTGGGAGCTTTGTCAGTATTATAATTTTAATTTGGGAAGGGCTCATTTTGTATTAGGGACACACTTATTATTCAGGGGTCCATCATACACTACAGAGCTCTGTGATGGCTTTCTTTTTTTTTTTTTAATATATATATATTTTTTAAATTTATTTTTATTTATTTGACAGAGATCACAAGTAGGCAGAGAGGCAGGCAGAGAGAGAGGAGGGGAAGCAGGCTCCCTGACAAGCAGAGAGCCCGATGTGGGGCTCGATCCCAGGACCCTGGGATCATGACCTGAGCTGAAGGCAGAGGCTTTAACCCACTGAGCCACCCAGGCGCCCCTCTGTGATGGCTTTTTACTTGTATTATTTTGGTGGTGAGGCGAGGTGAGATGTTGCTGATGACTCTGAGCTATGGTGGTGAACAGACTGTGAGTGGTGTAAAAGGAGACCTAGAAAAGAGCTCCTCTTCCTAAATGTTAGGGAAAAGCATTGGGATCAGCCAGGGATTAATATGGGGAGTCTAGCTGGGGCCCTCTCTAGAGAACTTTAGAAGTAATGCACATATTGAGATAGCTTTCATTTTTTAGTTATTTTAATAATTACTTGTCAAAATGGTTAAAGAATAGCTCAAATAACTTGAACAGGACCATAAGAAAAATAGTTATTTTTACTAAAGAGACATTTCCTCTGCCCAACCCTAATTCTGTGTTTTCTCATTCATAAAAAGATGAGATGATGATACATATACTACCTACCTCTCATTCAATTAACAGAAAATTATTGAGCACCTATTATGTTTTCTGCACTAGACATTTGAGACATACTTGGCTTTTAAAGGATCCTATATTTTAGTGTGAGTCAGTAAGTCTGTACATGTATATACATGTACATAGATATTCTATGTCAGGTACTGATAACATGCTATAAAGAAAATTAAAGCAAGATACAGGAGTTGGGGTATCCAGGGATGGTGGTTGTTAGGAAAGAGGTTTCAGTATTGGCATATGAACCGAGAGCTGAATGAGGTGAAACAGTCAGCCATGTGAAGATTTAGTGAAAGTGTTCCATGCCGAGATAATAGATCTCTTCTTGGATATAAAAGCTTAGCAGGCTTAGGGAATGACAAGGTGGCCAGTGTGACTGGCATGGAGTGAATAAAGAATAAGAGAGTGGTAGGACATCAGGATGGAGAAATAACCAGCCTATATCTTATAATCCATGATGAGGTTCTTGTATTCCAATCATTCTGGCTACTGCTGAAAGCATGTGGAGTGGCAAAGGGTGTTAGCAGAAAAGCCACCTAGAAAAACCAATATGGGTAATTCAGGTAAAAGAGGACTTTGACTAGTGTAGTGGTGGTAGTAGTGATGATAAGCAGTCAGAATAGGGATATACTTTGAAGTTATGGTTGATGGGTAAGACCTGTTAATAAATTGGATGGAGGGTATAAGAAAGAATCAAGGAAGGCTCCTATCTTTTAGTCAGTGAATGGTGCAGTTTACTGAAATGGAGAAGTCAAGAGGAGAAACAGGTTTGGGGGAAGAAAAAGCAGTTCTACTTTAGATATGTAAATCTGAGTTACGTAAGTAGATCCTCAAGTAGAGATGTTGAGTAGGCCACTGGATATAAAAATCTGGAGCCCCAGAAAGAAAAGATTTTGGGAGTCATCAGCATGCTGGTATTAAATGCTTGGGAAGACAGTATCCAAAGAATAAAGAAACAGGAAGACTAAGCTCTGGGCATTCCAAAATCTAACTGAGTAGAGTAAGATAAGCCAGCAAAGCAGCAGTCAGCCCAGAGAGTGGTAGAAGCAAACTGAAGAAACTGTTTTAAGAACATTGCTAAGAAGCCAGGTAAGATGATGGGCTAATCTATGAGATTTGGCAACATGGAGATTATTAGTCTTTTTGAAAGATACTGTTTTAGTGACATGACGGGGACAAAGGATTGAGGGGGTTGAGAAAATGGAAAGTATAAAGGGGAGATAGAAGTGGGTTTTCTTACTTTGGAAGTTAATACTGCATGTATGCTGATAGAAATGATCATAGAGGGAGTAATGGGTGATGCAGCATAGTATGGGATAATCAAAGTTTTTACACAGAGTATTATGTGTACAGATTTGGAGGTAAGTGTAGGTAGGAATTCTCTCTGGTGGCTTTTATTTTCTTAGCAAAGTAAGAAGTAGGGACATTAGTGGAAATTGTGGAACATAGTTTCTTTAAGAAACTGAAAGCATTTTGAGCAGGGGAAAGTAATAGAAGTACTGAGCTACCCTGAGGACTCATTTGAATAAGTCATGGAAATAGGTCAGTACAGTGGTATTTTTTTCTTGAGGTATAACCACCTACTTAAGGATACAGAGATTTAATCAAGGTCAGTATTTTGACAGAATAGGATAGATTGGGAGAGAAGCACACACCACAGAGTTAGTTCAGTAAGGGACTTTGGAATCTAGGGTGCATCGAAAAGGGAAGTAAGGAAATGAAAGATATGAAAGAGAAAAGTAACAACGATCCCAATGGCTTTTAAGAAATACTGTCCCGGGGGGGGGGGGCGGGGCGCCTGGGTGGCTCAGTGGGTTTAAAGCCTCTGCCTTCGGCTCAGGTCATGATCTCAGGGTCCTGGGATTGAGCCCCGCATCGGGCTCTCTGCTCAGCAGGGAACTTGCTTCCCTCCCTTTCTCTCTCTGCCTATTTGTGATCTCTTTCTCTGTCGAATGAATGAATGAAATCTTTAAAAAAAAAAAAAAAAAAAAAAAAATACTGTCCCTAGGGGCACCTGGGTGGCTCATCGGGTTAAAGCCTCTGCCTTTGGCTCAGTTCATGATCCAAGGGTCAAGCCCCACATCAGGCTCTCTGCTCAGTGGGGAGTCTGCTTCCTCCTCTCTCTCTCTCTGCCTACCTGTGATCTCTGTCAAATAAACAAAATCTAAAAAAAAAAAAGAAATATTGTCCCTAATAACATACCATCAATATATATGAAGCAAAAATTGACAGAAAGGAAAAATGAACATTTCTACAAAAACAGCTGAAGGTTTCAAGACCCCTCTCAAAAATAGGTAAGACAACCAGGCAGTGGATAAACTTGAATAACACAATGGGCTAACTAGTTCTTACAGAACATACATTCTTCTCAAGTGCATATGGGATATTCTCCAGGAGAGACCATATGTTAGGCCACAAAATAAGTCTCAACAATTTAAAAAGACAGATATCATACATAGAAGATATTCTGACCCCAACAGGATGAAGTTAGAAACAACAATAGAGGGAAAAAATGGAGAATTCACAAACTTGTGGAAATTAACCAGTAGGTAAAGAGAAAATCATAAGAGAAATTAGAAAATACCTAGAGACTGATGAAAATGGAAACACAATCTTCTAAAACTTTGGGATACAATGAAGGTAGTACTCTGAAAAATTTTATAGCTGTAAGAAGGAAGATCTCAAATTAACAACCTAACTTCATAGATAAATTTAAAACTAGCAGAAGGAAGGAAATGGAGAACAGAAAAACAGGGGGAAAAAATCAAATCTTAAATCTGATTATTTGAAAAGTTTAACACAACTGGTAAATGTTTATGTAACTGGTAAACAGTTAACTAGAGTAAGAAAAAGAAAAGCCTCAAATTACTAAAATTAGAAATAAAAGTGGGGACATTACTCATATTCCACAGAAATAATGATTTTAGGAGACTACTCTGAATGATTATATGCCAACAAGTTGAATAACCTGTATGAAATGGACAAATAACTAGAAACACAAAATCATCCAACACTGAATCATGAACAGAAAATAGTCCCATAATCCATAAGGACATTGCATCAGCAATAAAAAACTTCCTGACGAAGAAAAGCCCTGGACCTGATGGCTTCACTGGTGAATTCTGCCAAACATTTAAAAAACTACACCCATCCTCATACTCCTCCAAAAAACTGAAGAGAAGGGAATACTTCCTATTCCTAAATCATTCTATGAAGCCAATATTGTCCTGATATCAAAGCCAGACAAGACACTATAAGAAAACTTATGAGGCCAATACCCTTTTTGAATATAGATGCAAAAATCATCAATATAATACTAGCAAGCAGAATCCAGTAAATGGATTATATACCATACCCAGGAGGAATTTGTTCCTGGAATACAGGAATAATTCAACACGGGAATCAATGCAATAGATACACATTAATAGAATGAAAGTGGGGGGGAACCCCCACTCGATCATCTAAATGGATATAGAAAAAGCATCTGACAAAATTCAACACATTTTCATGTTAAAAACACTCAACAAACTAGGAATAGTAATAAACTACCACAACATAATAAAAGTCATTTATGAGGGGTGCCTGGGCACAGAGTCAGTTGCAATGTCTTTTTATTTATTTGACAGAGAGATCATAAGTAGGAAGAGAGAGAGGAGGAAGCAGGCTCCCCGCTGAGCAGAGCCCAGTGTGGGGTTCAATCCCAGGACCCTGAGATCATGACCTGAGCCGAAGGCAAGAGGCTTAACCCACTGAGCCTCGCAGTGTCTAACTCTTGAGTTTCAGATCAGGTCTCAGGGTTGTGGACTCCATGTGGGTCTCTGCGCTCAGCAGAGTCTGCTTGTCCGTCTCCCTGTGCCCTTGACCCTGTGTGCGTACACATGTGCAAATTTATAGATAAAAAAAAAAGTCATTTGTGAAATAGCCACAGCCACTATCATACTCAATGGTAAAAGACAAAAGCTATTCTCTAAGATCAACACAAGGAGCCCACTTTTGCCACCTTTATTCAACATAATACTGGAACTTCTAGCGGAGTAGTTAGGCAAAGGAAAAAAAAGTCCAGACTAGAAAGGAAAAAGTTATCTATGTTCAGAAATGACAGTTTCAGATGTAGAAAACCCTAAAGATTTCACCAACAAAACCCACAAAAAACCCTGTCAGAACTATGAAACAAATTCAGCAAAATAACAGGATATAAAATATCCAA